CCCTGAAACCCTAAACCCTGAAACTCAAACCCTAAAACACAATAGCCTTGAACACCCTGGACCCCAGCACTTTACACTCTAAGATCAACCCAAAGAACTCCTTTGGAGGAAGCAAACTTGTTTAAACTCATACAAAAAAGGTAGCCCTAGATTGCCTCCCAAAAGCAGACTAAAGCCTACACCCCAAAAGTCCTAACCCCCCTAAGCCCTAAACCCTAAAAGAGGGTCAGCTTAAACCCTAAACCTTAAACCCCAAACCCCAAACCCTCACCCCTAAACCCTAAACCCCTAAACCCGACACCCTAAACCCTAAACCCCTAAACCGGAAACCCTAAACCCCAAAACGAGACACATCTTTGGAGGAAGCCGGAGACTTTGGTCCTCTGGGTCGGAGACAACCCCAAGTCCGAGGGAGTGGCGCTGAAGGAGGGCGTTTAGGGTTTGGGGTTTAGGATTTAGGGCTTGGGGCTTTGTGGTTTGGGGTTTGGGGTTTAGGGTTTAGGATTTAGGGCTTGGGGCCTAGGGCTTTGGGGTTTGGGGTTTGGGGTTTGGGATTTAGGGTTTAGGATTTAGGATCTTAGGGTTTAGGATTTAGGGTTTTAGGTTTCCTTATTAAAGTAAGGAACCCTCAAGTAATATAGGTAATTACTAAGGCCCCTATAGCACGAAAATCGACACCCAAAGTCCGGATGCCGAAACCTAAACCAAGATAAACCACGAATAATTCCCTCAGCCCTACACAAGCCTGGCACCCTGAACGAATCTAACCCTAAATTCCATGAATAAACTCCAAGAGCCAAATTAGATATCACTAGTTATCACTATCAATAATACAACTTCTATTACTATCACTATTACGACTTCTATTACCAGTACTGTTGCTTTCTTGTTTCTACGATTACTACTAGATTACTACTACTATTGCTATTGTCATTCCTGTTCTGGACAAAGCGAGCAGTGAGGGGCCAGCTTGGCCGTTGTGCACATGTTGGACGCCAGAGCTGACTCTGTCGGTCGCACAGCCATGGTGCTGCAGGAGGCAAAGAACATGTTTGATGCAACGCAGGCCAGACATGCAGCCGTCTGGGACTTGATGCCTTCAGCTGTACAGGCCGGTAGCTGCGAGCTGCTTCATTGTCTTATGTGCAGCTTCACTTTTTCGATTTGGGTCCTGATCCACTTGTGCGGAGGCGAACACTCATCTCGCCCGAGTCTGCGCCTGACGAAGTTGGAGACATGGGTGACCGCCGCGGCGGTGCAGAATGCTTTCCGCAAGACTGGGGCACGGCCCAAACCGCTGGTGGTCGAGAATGACGCGGAAGCACGCGTTCAGGCAGCGAAGCTGCAGAACTTTGCGGTGAAGAATCCGGCTTCGGACCCAGAAGTTGCAGGGTTCAGGGTTTAGTGTGAGTGGACCCTTAACCCTGAGCCCTAAACCCGAAATCCTAAACCCTAAACCCTTATCCCGAAAACCTAAACCCTGAACCCTAACATGGTCGAGGCGCAGACTAGCCAGAAACCACCCGCAAGGCACCGTGGGATGTTTAGATCCATGAGTTTAGAAACCGTCCATAAGCCCTAGACCCTAAATCCCTAAACCCATATTTTTCGGAAAGTCCAAGACTCAACAGCATATTGTCCACGGATCACGACATATACTGGTAAATGGTCTTAGCTGGGGTGATGAGAGTACTACTCAGTACTTTTAAACACTGACTCGCAAATCTCCTTCGTCGCTCCAGTTACATCGGGTTTAGGGTTTAGGTTTCAGCTCCCAGTATTTTGGCCGAGACTCCGCGTGCTGGCAAAGACTGGACGTGAACCACTCACGAAGCAGCCCCGCGACCAGAGCAATACAGTCCAGTCCATGCCAATCCCGAAAAGCTTTGGTTACGAGAACCCTAAACCCTAAACCCATGAGAACCCTAAACCCTAAACCCCTAAACCCTAAACCCAAACCCCTAAACCCTAAATTCCTGAACCTAAACCCTAAACCCCCAAACCCTAAACCCCAAACCCCTAACCCCTATAAACCCTAAACCCGAAACCCTAAACCCTAAACCCATGAGAACCCAGGGCCCAAAACCCCACAGCCAGGACGTGGCCAACGTGCTGGGCCGCGCCGGGCTCTCTTCCCTCTCCTGGTCCCAGCACCCTGCGGGCTGCTTGCCTTCCTATGTAAAGGGCTAAAAAAAGCCTACCTTAACCTACCAAAACCTACTTTTTTTTTGTAGGGTCGCTATAAATTCCACGTTAGGGTTCATAATAAGAACCTATAAAAAAGGTAGGGTTTGGTAGTTCAAGGTATATAGGGTTTAGGGTTTAGGGGCAAGGCCTTGTTGTGGGGTTGAGGATTTGAGGAGTTTAGGGCTTGCGGTGTAGAACTCAGGGGTTCCGGCTGTTGGAGGGTTGGGGCTATGGCTGACCTGGTTAGTGCAGTCATTAGGGGGTTTAGGGTTTAGGGTTAGGGTTTAGGTTTTAGGGTTTAGGGTTTAGGGTTTAGGGTTTAGGGTTTAGGGTATCACAACACTTGCAGTGGTAGTAGATGCCAGCCTAGCCACAACAACCATCTGAGTCATCGATATGGATCAGCATGGTTACGGTGGTGACACTCGCAATGGTCATCAGAATTGTCATGATAAGCATCATCGTGCACATTCTGATCACAATCAGGATTTAGCGTCCAGAGCAATCGCCACAGGGTTTCAAAGGCATTCCCGACCACCTTCACCCGGCACTCTAAAACTCAGTAAGGCTGTGGAGTGTTTAGAGGGTGGCACATAGAGTCAGCTAAATACTTGAAGTTGCGCTTCAACGTGCGCTTTTGCAAGGATTCAGATTCAGACGGTCATTGCAACGGTTGGGATACATACTAGAAAGGTAATGTAGGGGCCCAGAGAATTACCAAATATAGTTTAGTAGAGTGGGCTCCCAAACCCTATTCTAAGTACTAAGGCCCCTACATTACCCCAAAACCCCTAAACCCCTAAAGCCCTAAACCCCTAAACCCCTAAAACCCAAGACCCTAAACCCTAAACCCTAAACTCCTAAACCCTAAACTCCTAAACCCTAAACTCCTAATCCCTAAACTCCTAAACCCTAATCCCTAAACTCCTAAACCCTAAACCCTAAACCCTAAACCCTGAACCCTAATCCCTAAACCCCGAAACCCTAAACCCTGAACCACTCTAAACCCCTAGAACCCAAGCCCCTAAACCCTAAACCACCCTACACCCTAAACCCTGAACCCTAAACCCTAAACCCTGAACCCTAATCCCTAAACTCCGAAACCCT